TATAGCGACGCTATCGATCGGGATCAGCTGGATGGGCAGTGGGTAGGCCAACTAGCACTGTCAGGAGGTTGAATCAGCTGGACGAGTTGCCCAGCTCACAAATCGAGTCCAATGGGCGGTGCCAAGATGGCAATTATGAGCCTAATTGCCCCAATGGCAAGTTGGGTGCGAAGGGCCGCGCCAAACGACCGCCTCCCTGTTTAAAGAGGTTATATGGCATTTTGGGAGGAAAGTTTCGAAAAGAAGGGCCGTACCGTCGCTAGAGGAGAACTTTACGAAGAACCTTTCTCGATGATGTGGAAACGGGGATACGGAACGGCAAATATTTCCATTTCAGTCCAGATTTCACTCAGCGGTTCTTTTCTTTGGACAGTAGTGATACATTTACTGTAGAGCAGAACTATTCTCGTGAGCTTTTGTGCCTCCTCCTTCCAAGATGTCATATAACCTGTAACCTAAACCGGGTTTCCAACGGTTCACTGTGTAGATAGCCACAATACATTGATTACGATTGCATTACACTAACACTAATAACCCAACCAGTAAGATTAAACAACCATAAAACGTTTGATTGAAATGGAGTGATGTTCGAAATCAAGACTGCGTCACGGGAAAGGGCTCATCAGTAAAAATAGACCAAAAGACAGATATCAATTACAACCTTACTCATTTTAAACGGCCTCTTAAATAATTGATAATGACGTGCATGTTTTCTTTTGATCTAATGGTATAACTTCGTTTAAATGCATTTTGAAGCGAAATGGCACTCTTTTTGGAAGTTCTTTTCTCTATGCGATTTGATGCCATTTTCTGAAAGCCTCGCATAGTTATTAGTCGAAAAGGGAAGTGGAGCGCAGGATACCGGTTAGCAACGCCAGGTAATGAACATTCATTCGTGACCGCAGTGTACTTGAAAGCCATCTTGATCCAATACAATGTCTTGTGAGGCGAAGCGGTGTGCTCCTGCCTTTCGTCTTTTTGTGGTGACCTAGGACTGAATTTATTTCAATTATACTATGCTGATCCTAAAGCCACGCCATTTTCTTCGAGGGAGCTGTAAGAATGCAAATCTTGGTTCTCCCTACTTCTTCATGTTGTCAGGTGCCAGTGATTTAGAGGAGGTTTCTACTCGGTGAAAAAGCCAATATTCCTTAACAAAACGACAGCTTACCTTTTAAACAACGTATATTGTCATCTTTTCCCTTAATTTGGGATATCTCATGGGTGCGGACTTAACATCATTTCTTCGAACAGCAATTCATAAGTAGAACCAAAATGAAACGAAAGTAGTCGATAGCGTGGGTCGCAACGAATTGCTTGATTCACAAACCATATAGTTGACAAATGTCCAAAAACTTGACAAATGTCTCGCGACAACTCGCCCGGCGTTTCTTCGGGGTGTAGGTTTAGGCGACAGTCATTTTGTGGACGTGCACTTGAGGAATGATTAAAGTGAAATTGAAAAAGAAAAGCCTAACATGAGGAACGAACTAGACAACCAATACCGAAAAAAATAGTGAAAAAGAAAAAAAAATAGTGAAAAAAAAACCAAGCTGAAAAAGAACGAATCTATCAATATGAACCCATGCGAATCACCCTGGTCAGTCTATGACATTGGGTAAAACGGGTATGTGTACGAACGTGCGTCCGAGGATACGCGCGGCAAACTGCGCGGCGAAGCTCGTAATGATTTGAACGAGTACGGCGCCTAACATTGGGGCCCAAATTTGAAATAGAGTGGATTAGGAGGATCAACTGACCCTACTAAACTACTCTACTTCGAGTTTGTGCCCCGAAAATTGGCGTCAGAGTCGTATGAATCGTGTCGAGCTTCGCCGCGCAATTTGCCGCGCGCACCCTCGGACGCACGTCCGTACCGTCTCCCGGTAAAACTAAGCGTAATGTTACGGTAGTTGCAATTAGTACGTAACTGCAGACCGTGAGGGGTGTGGAAATAGATAGCACCACAAAGAGGTACCAGTGGTTTGTGTTGTAGCTTGCGCTACAGGTGAGCAAATATTTCCACTAAACTAAATCGATTCTAGTACAAATTGCTTCTCCCTGAAAACGAACTAGGAGTGTATAGAAAATTCTTCTCGAGCAAGTTCCAAAAAGCGAGCAATTCATTGGTCAGAAACAGGAAATGTTCTCGAATTACCGTAATTACAAATCACGAACGAGGCATTGATTACACCAATATTTGGGAAGAGAGATTCTGCAACAGATACAGCAAGTGACAGAAACAATGTGAAGCACAGAGAAATAAGGAGGTCGCAAGTTTTGCTCCGGCACGGCGTAGCAAGTTGACAAGCTTTTCGGTGCAAATTTGCCGAGGTTCCCGCAGCGAAAAGCTTGTCAATTTGCTACGGTATACGGACCACCTGGGAGAGCTCTAGAAGTTTTGCAAGGAAAAGTTCAGCAAAAAGCGGAAAACCTGAAATCCGAAATTGTGAAGGGCTTTGAAATTTTTTAGGCATTTTTATGCCTATGATACCTTAACGTAAAATCTACATGATTACTCTTTCCGCAATTCCAATTTTCATGCAAGGGTGAACGTGTGATACTGCCAAGTGTAAAAAATGGTCGGCCGGACGTGCTTGTGTCTGCTATAACTGTGAATGAATTAGGAATATTTATGTGATCTTAAAAATGCCTTTTACTACATATCTCACAATAATCTGCGAAAAAGGATGGTGATCGGGATAGAAGTGATTACTCTTGAGATCCTACAATTATTGCGCTGTGTAGGCAGCTCCTAGATGGTAACTGAAGCCCATCGCTCCAAAGGTCATGTGGCTGCGGGACTACCCATGGCTTCTCGCCCATTTTTTTTTGTCACACGCATGTGTCGAACCGAAACCTCAGCAACACCTGAACTGGATGCAAATCGTCAAGCCGCACCAGTTTACAGTTCATCTTCCCGAACTAACCAGGGAAGGATCCCAAGTCGAAGTGGCCATTTGAAATGAGACCTATACTGCTACACGTGCTTTTCTATGCTGAGTTTAAATCTGCTTTCCAAATTTACCGAGCGTTTATCTAAACGGAGTTATGAGGGTGGTTTCAGGGAGCTTAGCATGAGAAGACTTAAATTACATGGATGTTCCCCACCCCTCAACGGGGGCTTGGTGTAGTGGTAAACGTGACGCTTTATGGTCGAGAGGCTAGGGTTCGGGTTTTTGGGTTGGATGACTTTTGCATTATATAGAATTTTTCCTTTAAGGACTAGAAAATACACTTGTGGCGAGATTATCACGTTTTATGACCTTTTAATTCTTTGACTGATATTTATCCACATAGAGTAATACTTCAGTTTTACTCGCATGCCCATGCATTCTATATTCACAGTAGGATAACTTTTGTCACTTGAATGAACAAATGTGAGACTCTAGTAAGCAATACGGTAAACAAAGGAGCTTCTCACAGTGGGAGCAACGGATGAAAAAGAACTCGTCACAGTCCATTGCTTGACACTTACTAACCCCAAATCAGATGGAAAACAAAATTGTGTAGGCGTCGCAAAATCATCCGGGTGAGTGCTACATAGCAGGCGGCATACCATGAATGTATGAGAAATTTCCTAAATCGAGCCGGACAGAACTGAAAGTGGACAAGCGATGGTGAGCGAGGAATGGGGTCTCGAAAGTTGAGATTATGAGTTATTTCATATGAGGTGCGTTCAACCATATTTTTAAAAGGAAGTGAGAAATAAGCTTCCATCGGGCTGCATTAGCCTCGCGGTAGCCTCGAGCGGGTCGTCAATCCCTTCACTTGCTTTTGTGGAGGTAAGGTGATAGCTTTCTGGTCTTCGAGTTCACTATCACCAGCGCCGGTTTTGGTGAGTCCGGAGCTGCTATGCACCATCGCACCCAATCTAGCATCAACATTGCTCATCATATGCATTTTCCCTCCCGGGCCTCCAAATTTTGCGCACGCAGCAATCTCCCACACGGTAACAGGTAGGTAGGTAGGAGAAGGTACCAGCAAAGGCATTAAAAGGTCATAAAACGAGATAATCTCACCATAAGAGTATTTCCTAGTCCTTATGGGAAGAATTCTATATAATGCAAAAAACCCGTCCCCCACAAAACCCGATCTCTAGCCTCTCGCCTATAAAGCGTCACGCTTACCACTACACCAAGCCCCCGTTGAGCGGTGAGGAACATCCATGTGATTTAAGTTTTCTCATGCTAAGCTCCCTGAAACCACCCTCATAACTCCGTTCAGAGAAATGCTGGGCAAATTTGGAAAGCAGATCTGAACTCAGCATCCAGAAACACGTCTAGCAGTGTAGGCCTCATTTCAAACGGCCTCTTCGACTTGGGATCCTTTCCTGGTAAGCATTGGGTTAGGGGATTGAAACATCTAATATTGTTCATTTATTCCGCAAAGATTTATTCGCTCATACTCGTTGTTTCCAAGTGGAACGCTGGAACAACTGAACATCTTTAAGGACTACTTGACAACATTCCGGTAGCTTCAATGTTGGTTCTGCACCAATTCTGGCAGGTTGCCGGAGAGCGGCTTCCCGAGTACCTTTCCGTCGAACATTTTCCACGAGTCTGGCCGACCATTTTTTTTACTCTTGGTTGTATCACACGTTCACCCCTGCATGAAAATTGGAAATGCAGAAAGAATAATTTTCTAATGTCAGACCCAGGTACATAAAAATCACTTAAAAATCCCAAAATACTTCTTCAGTTTTCGTAGAAGGCTAATCAAATCCCGGCAGGTATAAATTAGTACTGCATGTTTCCGCTTCTTGCTGAATTTTTCCTTGCTAAACTTCTTGAGCTTTCCCAGATGTTCAGCAGACCATACTAAAGTGCCAAGCTTTTCACTGCGAGAACCCGTGACTCGTCAATATTACTAGTCTACTATTCGACGAAGCGTATAATGGTCTTGATAGTATTCGATTAATATATTTTACGAACAAGTGGAGATACTGTGGTAGGATACTAGTCTTTTCACTGTACACTTATTTCGACTCGTAATTTTGGTATCATAGCAAAAGAAGAATGCGGCGCATTGTTTCCTTGAACCGCCTATTCGAGTTTATAAGATGTGAAGTTTGAAAAGAATTGAACACATGAAAGATTGTGCTCTCGATGTAACAACACATGTTTCAGCTCAATCATGTTGATTTGTTGAGCCTTTTTGCTTCTCTTGAAGACGACGAGACCGACGTATTATGAACTGTTCAATATCACTTGATGATTCTATACCTGCTGGTTTGATGTTCATAATGTTCTTTTAGAAGTCTTCGACTTCTGGACGGTATTTCATAAATAAATAAATATATATACATATATTTATAAAATACCGTCCATTCAATTCAATTCAACGCTTTGAATTGAAGCCACGTAAATGCGGCTCACGTGGCGTTTGATAGTGAATTAACCTGTTTGCTCATAGTTCTCGGTAGTTGTAGATATGGCTGGTAAAAGACCTTCACAAAATTCAAAAACGGTGTCTCAGAAATCGCGAAAAGTTGCCGGTGTGGCACTTGATCAGTCCATTCAATGCGAAACCATCGACTATCGGAATTGCTCACTCTCTGATCTGAGCGATGTTGCAACGTAACACCGACCCAGTAATCGCAGCGATGATTCATGCTTTGCAAGATAAGATAGTCCACACAATTTCTAACACTATTGAAGAAGATCGAAAAAGTAGAAGTGTAGTCGTTGCTGGATTAGCGGAAGAACCTCGTGAACTTCTGGCCTCACGTCGACAAAATGAGTTGGAAGACAAGATCCCAGGTATATAGGACATCCTTGATGTTGAGTGTCGGCCGCAGACTGTATACCGGATGTATGTATAATGAGTCAAAAAACAGGCTAGCGAAAATCATGCTGCCTTCTAGGAGCCACTGGCGGAAAGTTCTTGCTAATGCACATTTGTTGAGACAGTCAGGGATGTCTGAAGTTTTCATAAGACGTAGCATGTCACCTGAGAAAAGAGAAACGGAAGCTAAACTTATACAGGAGGCCCACGAGCGGAACAAGGCTGCAAATAGAAGGGAGTGGGTAGTGTATAAAGGTGAGCTAAAGAAGAGGAGTGAAATGCCGTCCAGACAGAAACCGGGAAACCAACAATGATGCATGGTGCTTCTTCTCTGCTCTTGTGTTACTTACTAAATTCATGAGGCCTAGTTAATGAAATACACCTGTTACACTCCTTCCTGACCATTCGCAATCCCGACATGCTTTTGATCACTGAAACTTGGCTCGATAAAAAGATTTTGGACTCGGAACTTCTAAGAGGTTTGAATGATATTATTTTGCGATCAGATAGAAGTCATGGGAGAGGTGGAGGAGTTTGTGTCATCATCAAAAACCAAATTCTTACGAGCACATGCTTGAAGTCGTTCAAAGGTCCACTTTCTGACGTACTATGTTTTGATATTGTTTCTGAATGTACTGCTGTACCTATACGATTCGTACTTCTTTATCGGCCGCCTCACTCTTCATTTGAAAATGACGGTTTGCTGATTAACGCTCTCTACGACATTTTATCAGTTGCCCACCCCATATTGATCGCTGGTGACTTCAACCTGAGTACTGATTGGAAGAATAAAATCACCCACACAAGCACAGATTCTCGGTTTAATGAGGTTTTTTCGTGTTGTAAACTGAAGCAGTGGGTTTTGTCAGGTACCATAGGGGATTCAGTTTTGGATCTGTTCTTGACCTCAGGAGTCTCGATTGAGAATATCGAAATACTTCCTCCTCTTGGGAACTCTGATCATAATATTGTTAAGTTCCAACTGGACTTTATGGTTAATGAGAGATTTTACCTACCCAAGCCTGATTTCAGCAGAGTAGATTATGATGCGCTTGGTGACTGCCTGTACGCAGTGAACTGGAATCAACTGTTTGATGGATTTGATTCGGTTAAAGATTTATACTGCAGATTCCGCTTGGTCCTATATGACTGTTTCTCTGTATTGGTACCTTTCCGCTATTCAAGAGGTGCTGGGCAACAATACCCAAAATGCATAAGAAATCTGATTGACCAGAAATCAA